AACCGAGCATAAATGGACTAAAACCGCAAATAATTAGATAGAAAATCAGCTAAATATTCAGCAAAAGATCAGAAAAATAGACAGAATGATCAAAAGAAGACAAAAAAAATGCTAAAAAGAAAACAGCACAACATTAGACCAAACAAAGGGACAAAAGTGCTCCAGGAAAACAGTTTGTCCACAACAGCTGGTTCTGGATGCTCTGCACCCGGATCACAGCTGGATCCGGGCCCAGTCGGATCCGTCTTTCTGGGTCCTGGTTTGGAGCCTTTTCCCTCCGTTTCTGAGCATTTTTGGATGGTAAAAAAGCAGCTGGTGTTCCTGGTTTAGGGCTAAGCTCTGAGTCCAGAAGCACCGGCAGGTTTCTGACCCGGTTTCAGCCATTCGGACCTCCATGCAAACGCTAACAGGCTAAACGAGCAGCTGCTAAGTAGCCTACAAGCTAACTAGCCTGACAGCTAATCACAGGCTTTTCCCAGCAGCTTAGCGGCTTATGGGGAGGCAGCTCTGATAGCAGGGAGCTCTGTGTTTACTTTAAATGACAAAAGTCACCACTGGCATGCAAAGAAAGGAGAAAATTATAGATGTTTACCCTCCTGCTGTCTTTAATGTGGACTGACTAAACTATATAATAGCAACTGTGATCATTAAAGGGACATTGTGTAGTGTTTTAAGTATTTTATTATCTAAAATCATCTTCATTTCTAAATGTGTCCTCATTTGGTGTAAAATGACCTCTGCAATGATCTGACTTCTCCTCATATGGAAGAATTTGCAAACTGTATATACGTAGGACGGGTAAGTCCACAGAGCTTTCCATGTCGTGCCGCCATTTTGAAAAACTAATACTGTAAAGCACTAGTCTGCCCGTCTAGCTAATCCACAACACCTTTTCCTTCAGAGTCACGTGACTGAAACCACTTCTAATAAGTGAGAGGCGCTCGCCTGTCCCCTCTAAGCTAGTCGCTGTATCATTGCTAATTAGCACAGTTCATACTAATATTTCACTACT